GTTGAGTCGGAAAGAAGCCCCTCCCCTCTGTGATTCCTTCCCCGCCGAGGGGCGGGGGGGTCGGTCTCTTGGGGGGGGGTTCTCGGGGGGGTCCCGGGGGAGGGCTCCCGGGGGGGGGCCCGGGGCAGATGCGACCCCCCCTCGGGCGGTCGGGCGGCCAAGAAAAGCCGCAGGACGCGGCAAAACTGCTCCAAGATGCTCCCAAGACGGTCCTCGAGGACCTCGAATCGCCGAAGCATCGGTCCAAGTCGCCAAAGTAGCCTCCAGACGGCTCAAAGGGTTTCCAAAACGCCCCAAGAGGCTTCCAAGAGGACTTCAAGAGGGTCCCAAGGGGCAAAAATCATAGATTTCCCGTATTTGTTTGAAAGATTTCGGCATTCTCGCCACGTCAGCTTCCCGACGCTCCAAGACAGGCCAAAAAGCCCCCAAGACCGCCCCAAGATGGCCCTAGAGGCCTCCAAGAGAGCCCCAAGATCGACCAAGAGGCCTCCAAGACAGCCGAAGAAGGCCCCCAAGACGGCTCCAAGGAGGAGCCCAGACGGGGGACCCGAACGGACATTTCGAGCCCTCGGCCTGAGAAGCTCTCAGGAGGCCCCCAGAGGTCCCTAAGAAGACCCCCGAGAAGCCTCAAGAAGCCCCCAAGAGACCAGGAAGCCCCAGGAGGCCCCCACGAGGCTTCCAAGCGGCCCCCAAGAGCTTCCCAAGAGGCCCCCAAACTACCCCCAAGAGGGCCCCGAGAGCGCTCGTCGTTGTCGTCGTCGCCATTCAGGGTCGGCGGCACCGGCCGTAAGGCCTTCGCAACACAAGCCATCACGACAAAATGCGCACTGCCGACGACCACGGGCCTGCCCGACCAGAAGGGGCGCTACTTTCGACGCGCAGCGTGGTATTGACGGCCTCAACGAGCTCGCCCTCAGAAAGCTCTTTGAATGGACCATCACCATCCTCGACGACCATGCGCATCACCGCTGGATCCCCTCCGAGCGCCTCCGCGTGCACGATGAAATAGAGAATAGCCACGCTGGCGTGAGAATCCTCCATCGGAAACATACCGTTCGTGAGTGGAGCGTACGGGCTGGCAATGGAGCGAGGCGAGCTCGCTCAAACGTGTACAGCACAGAAGGGAGGGTCTGCCTGAAAAGCTTAAGCTGGAGTCCTTACTAAGGAAGCGCGACTAAGGGCTCGTAAGGGCCCACGAGCCATGATTCGTTATGAAGGATTGCTGGCCCCACATGGTTATGTACCCTCCCCCGCCTCCTCCTCCTCCAACTCCTCCTCCTCCCCTCCTTTATCATCATCATCATCATCATCATCATCATCATCATCAGCAGCAGCAGCAGCAGCAGCATCATCATCATCATCATCATCATAATCAGCATCATCATCACCATCATCATCATCAGCATCATCAACATCAACATCATCAGCATCATCATCATTATCAGCATCAGTATCATCATCAGCATCATCATCATTAATTACCAGCAGCATCAGTATCATCATCATCAACAGCATCACCATCGCCATCATGATCATGAACCTCATCATCATCAACATCATCAACATCATCATCAGCATCACCATCATCATCAGCATCATCATCATCAACATCATCATCCCCCGTCATCTTCTGAATCACGTCACTTTTCTCACCAACCTTCTCCGCGTCAACAGTGTCTTGCCTGCTTCAAGCAACGACACAAGCTGCCTGCTTAAACTTCGTCTTCATCGCTCGACGGATCCGTGTGTCCGTAGAACTGCACCGGCTTGCCTGCCCTTGCATCCCACTCCACAAGTCCACCTCGTCGCGGCAAGCGAGTGTTCTACCTGTGTTCCCGTCCAAACAAGTCCCGAGGATCCGCTGACAACCTCTGCAACAGAAAGAGGAACAACAGAAGGAACGGGGGGGAGGGACGAGGGAACAGCGAGAGAGGGGAAGGAATGCGGGAGGAGCGAAGAACAGAGAGGGAGAAAATCAAGGAGAACGCAGAAAGGGAGGATCTGTCATTAGAAACGGGTTTGCCCCCGAAACAAAAACGAGCTTCTCGTCCAGTGCTGTTTTTTCGCCTGAGGCCCGCAAGGCGGCCCGAGAGGCAGAAAACCCAGAGAAAACGCTATAGAAAGCGTGAGGAGCCCTGTCCCCTCGGGATGCTTTTCCCTCCACGGCGAGGACGGACGCCGGCAGTGGAGAGGCCCCAGGGGGAGGGGATCAAGCCACCCAGCGCTCCTCAGACCATGGCGTGCTCGGCCGCAAGGCCAGACGACTCCTACAGTGGAGGCCAATCCACGAGAAACCTGCCACAAGAAGCCCAACCCTGAGACCCCGGGACGTCCATGAAATGTTGGTGTGGGAACGTCACGCCTTCCATAGCAAAACCATCGAAACCCAAGAACCCCAGGGCACCGAGGCAAGCAGGGTGTTTCAGGGCTGAACCTAAACGGTATTTTGCATGTTCGTTTTGTTCTCGTCTTCCCTCGTTTTGTCTTCAATCCGCCTCTACCGCAAAACGAAGTCGAAACGAAAACGGCCCACGAAATCGCCAAAACACCGTTTGTGTCCAGCCCTGCCCTGGAGGCAAGCAGGGTGTTTCCTGGCATGAGCCTCCACTGTGCTTTCGAAGATCGAGGATCGAGGAACCACCCGGGGGGGGGCTCCCCACCGGGGGCAGCTGGCGCCAGGCCTCCAGAAATCTCAAATCCTGAGAGGACACAGGGACACCAATAAATACACACATCCCAGGAATCCCCATGTTTTCTCACATTTTGAGGGCTTTCGTCTTCCCTCCCACTTCCTATAGTTTCCCTATATTTTCCTGGAAATCGACGATTACTCGTGTCTGTGTGTTTTTCTCCTCCTGAGATCCGGGGCGAGCAGGTGCCGGGAGATAGTGTTGGTGCAGCAGGGGCTCGGCCTGATGACTGCGGTGCTTCATAGTCTCTTTCAACAACCCTCGCGCGTGAGGGGTGGGCGCCGTAAAACGAAAGAATGTCCTAGCAAAGCATTGAAGACAATATGTCGGTGTTGAACGTGGCATGGGTGAAGAGCACTTGCTGGCAGACAGGTCTACGGATGCGATGTTGCAGCTCGCGAAATCCAATGATTGCACGAATACTGTAACGTGCAGCAGCCTCTTCCACAGGGCAGCAGGAGCAACGGCAGGAGGAGGAAGGAGGCAGGCGAGCCGAAAGAGGGAGGAGACACGAGGAAGGCTGGGAGACGGGTGCATCTCGCCCGCCAGGACCTCTCGTTCCGCTTCCATCTCCCCCCCCCAACTCTCCCTCCAATCACTCCTCCCCCCTGCCTCCTGCCTCCACCCCCGTCCTCCCCCAACCCCGACCCTACACCCCGTCCCCCCTCGCCCCTCTCTCCTTCCCCTGCACCCTGCCTCCCTCCCTCTACTCTCCTCCCGTCACCTCCGCTGCCGCCCGCCCGGCCCTCCGACGCTGATGTTGCAGCTGTGGCCAGTGCCGATGCAGCTCGCCAGCCGCGAGGCGGCCGCGCGGTCGGTGAGCGAGCTGACCCTGCGCATCTGCTCCTCGCGGGCGGGTGGACGGGGAGAGAGAGGGAAGAAAAGAAGGGAGAAGGGAGAAGGGAGAAGGGAGAAGGGAGGAGCAACGAGAAGAAGGGAGAAGGGAGGAGCAACGAGAAGAAGGGAGGAGAACGGAGGAGAAGGCGGGGGAGGAGTGAAAAGAAGGAAGAGAAGAAGGGAGAAGGAGAAAAGAAGGGAGAAGGGAGCAGGGGGGAGAGTGGGGAGCAACGGAACGGCAGGTTCGTGTCGTGAACACCGCGGCGCTGCTCGCTGGCGCCGCGGGGATCGTTCAATCGTTCAATCTTGAGCGATCGACGGCCTTTCGATCGCCGGATCGTTCCGTTTGGCCGATTCTTAACCACTGGCAGCGTTCAACGTTGAACGCCCGCTGCAGAGTCGCTGACTCGTCGGTACGGCATGAACCTACCGCATGGGGGGCAAAAGGGGCAAGGGGAGGAGGAGGGGCAAGGGAGGGAATGGGCGGTGGTCACTGGGAGGGGTAAGAGGTCGCAGGGAGCTACCGCAACGGCAGGGTCATTGGGATGGGTAAGGGGAGGAGGACTTTCCCTCATCCGCCTCTTCCTCCTCCTCCTCCTCCTCCTCCTCCTCCTTGCTCCGCCTCCCTGAAAATCAATCCCCTCCTCCTGGAGGTTTCCTGGGTAGTGTGGCCATGGCCTCTGCTCGTTCGGTCGGTCCACCACCCCATTTAATGGGACGAACATGATGCGACCGAACATCAACCAGAGGGGGAAGGAAGAAAGGATGTACTAGGTGCTCCCACGCCCCGATATACTCGGTACTGAAACAACGACAAGCAGAGCCCCAGGTTGAGCGTGCCGCACGTTTCCCTGTGCAGCGGGCATTCGGGCTCAGGCGCAGAGGTTTCGGCAGCTCGATGGCCCTCGGCGGAAGGCTGGCTGCAGAGCTGGTGCACGGCGCCTCGCAGGCCAGTCTCCTCTCGGCCACTGCGCGCCCTCCCTCGTGAGCACCCCAGGCAAGAGGCAGTGGGAGGAAGAGGAGGAGGAGGAGACTGCCCGACGCCGAATGGGACCTGGCCGCTCTACGCCGTGCTGCTCGCCGTGGTGACCCGCGCAGCAGCGACGCGCTTGCCGGCGACGACGCGGCCCGTGGCATCGCCTTGCCAGGCTCGCGCCCAGGCAGAATTTGTGAGAGCCCGTGCGCAGGGACATACAAGAAGAAAAAACGCCATACGTAAATGTAAACTGTTGGCGCTCCGCGCCAGACGTAAACATAAACTCCTGACCCCGGACGACCACGACTACGCCGAGGACATCTGCATGCATGGATGGTGTCGACGTGGCCGAGTACGTACGCCGCACCAGCAGGCGCGACAGCAGGAGCCGCGCCGCGGCCGCAGGAGCCGACCAGCTGCATCGTTTCCATGGGTTGCCGCTGCCCGCGCGCGCGGCTGCTGCCTCGGCGTCAACGCGAGCTGCCCTGGGGCTCCGCCCACCGCGATCAGCACGGCGGGCTGCGCGGTGGCTCCGCCAGCTCGGACGGCACCAGCGGCTGATGCTGCCCCGCCGGCCACGCCCGCAGCGGGCGCCCGCGGTCTCGCAGGACTCGCGGCCGCTCTCGGCGGGGCAGCTGCCGCCACAGGCGCCGCGGCAGGCGCCCTCGTGCCTGCCCCTGGCCCGGCGCCGGCCGTGGTTGGCAGGGCGCTCGTGCTGGCTCTCCTCCCGCCTCCCTCCTGCCTCCTGCCTCTTCCACCACCCTCCTCCCTCCTCCCTCCTCCCTCCTGCCTCCTGCCTCTTCCACCACCCTCCTCCCTCCTCCCTCCTCCCTCCTCCCTCCTCCCTTCTCCCTCCTCCTCCTCCTCCTCCTCCTCCTCCTCCTCGTCCTCGTCCTCGTCCTCGTGCTCGTCCTCGCCTTCGTCCTCGTCCTCGTCGTCCTCCTCCTCCTCCTCGTCCTCGTCCTCGTGCTCGTCCTCGCCTTCGTCCTCGTCGTCCGCGTCGTCCTCGTCTTCCTCGTCGTCCTCGTCGTCCTCGCCTTCCTCGTCTTCCTCGTCTTTCTCATCTTCCTCATCTTCCTCATCTGCCTCGTCTGCCTCGTCTTCCTCGTCTTCCTCGTAGTCCTCGTCTTCCTCGTCTTCCTCGTCTTCCTCGTCATCCTCGTCGTCCTTGTCTTCCTCGTCTTCCTCGTTTTCCTCGTCGTCCTCGTCGTCCTTGTCTTCCTCGTCTGCCTCGTCTTCCTCGTCTTCCTCGTCTTCCTCGTCTTCCGCATTTTCCTCCTCTTTCTCCTCTTGCTCCTCTTCCTCCTCCTCCTCCTCGTCCTCCGCCTCCGCCTCTGCCACCGCCTCCGCCTCCGCCTCCGCCTCCGCCTCCGCCTCCGCCTCCGCCTCCTCCTCCTCCTCCTTCACCTCCTCCCTCCCTCCTCCCTCCTCCCTCCTCCCTCCTCCCTCCTCCCTCCTGTCTCCTCCT